CTCTTGGTGCTCTTTTTCTAGAGGTCTCATTGTCTCCTGGGTCTCATCTTCTAGAGATGTCAGTGGCTCCTGGTTCTCTTTTTCTAGAGGTCTCAAGGTCTCTTGATTCTCATCTTCTAGAGACCTCGGGGACTCAGGATGCTCTTTTTCCAGAAGTCTTGATGTCTCCTGATCCTCTTCTCCTAGAGACCTTGGTAGCTCTTGATTCTCTTTTGCCAGAGGTCTTGATTTCTCTTGGTTCTCTACTTCTTGAGATCTCAGTGGCTCTTGATTCTCTTTTTCTAGACCTCTCAATGACTCGAAGTTCTCCTCTTCTAGAGACCTCACTAATTCTTGATTTTCCTCTCCTGGATACAAAAATGTCCCTAGATTATCTTCAAGAGAGCTCATTAGTTCTTGATTCTCCTTTTCTAGAGATTGCAATGTCTGTGTGTCTTTTCCTATAGGCGTAAGTAGTTCTAGGGTCTCTTTTTCCAAAGGTCTCACTACCTCCATGTCCTTTTCTTCTAAAGACTTTGATGGCTCTTGATTCTCCTTTTCTAGACTTTTTAATGTTTCTAAGTTCTCTTCTTCTAAAGATCTCAGAGATTCTTGATTCTCTTTCTCTAGAGAGCTCAGTGTCTCATGGCTCTGTTTTCCCAGAGACATCAATGGCTCTCGAATCTCCTCTTCCAGAGACTTCACTGTTTCTTTCTCCAAAGGACCCTGGGAGTCCTGGATTTCCTTCATGTCCAGATCCCCTTCTTCTTGCTGTGTTTCCTGCTGCAAGCTGCTCACCCCTTTGACCTCTATGGCTGTTTCTTTCTCTGCCAGCCCCCAGATTTGCCCTTCACCTTCCTCCTGGAATCTGCTGGACACTCTAGACCCACTGGGTTCTCCATCTTTGGCCTCTAAACTGGGGTGGTCAGGGCTGAGGGGTGGGGCCAAGGAGGCATGATCCTCAGGGATCTGGCCTGTACCGGCCTCTTGCAGCTTGCCCCCAGGCTCCTCTGGTCCTGGCAGGATGCTGGCAGGGATAGCCACCTTGGCTTCAGCCCACATGGCCTCTGGAGCCTGTTGCCTCTCAGCCTGTGGCTGGAGCAGGGAGACAGGGGCATTCTGGGCTCTGATCTCTGCAGCTGTAGCAGAGCGGGGAGGCTGAGGTGTGGGTGGGATGGGGGTGCTGGCCAAGGTGGGGGTACGGGCCTGGAGGAATTCCTGTCTCTTCAGAAAGGCTGGCACAGGTGTCTCAAGGGTATCAGGCAAGGATGAGGAGAGGGGAGTCGGGCTCAGGACAGAGAGCAAAGGTCCCAGGCGCCGGCCCTCTGGGGTCCCAGGGAAATGTAGCTCCAGCTTCGGGTCTGGAAAGCCAGAGGGGAAGAAACAGTGTCAGTATATGCTGGCAGGGCAGGGCGGGAAGCCACAGAGCAGCGACCACTTCTGGCAAGAGTGCCCATGGGCCCTGCCCCGCCTCCCTCTGGCTGGGCTGCAGTGCAGTCACTGCTGTTGGGGCCACAGAGTCAAGACTCAGACTGTGCCTCAGGACAGAAATCGCTCTGGGGTATGAAGAGTAAAGAAGGATAGAGTTTCGGGGGAACCTGGCCCCTCTTCTTACCCTGCAAGCTGAGGGCAGCCTTGGAACCGCTGCCAGGTGTCTGCAGCCGGGAGTTCTCAGCCTCTAGAAGGGTCCTGGGGATGAGGGAGGAAAAGCTGGGTCAGCCCTCTGCCCACAGGCCTGTGGGCAAGCCAGCCGGGGAAAACCCAGGGCTGAGCCTGCACATCCTGGCACTGTAGGCGTCCTCCACATGGTCACCACCATCACAATGAAGCCACATGCGGGGTCAGACCTGGCTGTGCACGTGAAATACACGGTCACGTACCCACAGATATCACACACTTGGTCACACAGCATCACACACTTGTTTGGGACACACAGCTGGACTCACCAACACACAAGCAGATTCCCACACAGTCGACACAGTGTACACACACCCACACATGCTTAGACTAGTCTCTTCCTCCCCACCCCCCAGGCCAGTGACCTCATCCTCCGTGTGGGGGGCCGATTCTCATGCTAATTGCTGCCTTTGTCCACACCGCCATCTGGAGGGTCTGAGTAGGGGGCTTCCCAGGGGAAGTGGGAATTCTCAGGCGTTCCCATGGGATAGGTTCCCTCCTCCTCCCCCGGGCCCCCCAGAGCTGGTCACAGACAAAAGCAAATGAATTCAGCTCCCTCTCTTCAAATCCTTTTCATGCCTCAAAAACCAGCGGTTAAGCCGGCCCAGCGCCTTCCCCTCAGTGGTTTGACTGGGGGTCAAGGCCTTCATCTTGGGATCTCTAGGTACTCTGGATCCCAAGCCTTTCAGGGCAATGGAGGTCTTTGTGTCCAGGCCCCTGCGTCAGTTCCCCATAGGAACTGAGGAGGAGGGGACCAATAGGGGAGGGGAGGGCCAATCGATTCAACAAGTTATGCTGAATATCTCCTCTCTGCTCTTCTTCATGATCTCTGAGTCTGGTTAGTACTTTCTATGGTCCCACCTCTGTCCCTCCCACTGCAGCATCACGCCCTCTGACTCTGTGCTCCATGGAGGCAGAGCTGCTCTCTTCCTCAGCCCTAGATCCTCACTGACCTTCCCTCTCTGGGTCCTGCCTCCTCTCCCCTCCTGAACCTGTCACAGGGCCCCTGCCTGTGTTTGCCTGTGGATACTGGGGGCACTGTCCTCATAGCCTGTCCGCCCCTGGCCCCGACCTTGTGGACTTGGGGTACACAGCCCTTCACAGTGGCAAAGCCCCTGCCTCAGGCTCCGTCACTGGAGCCTCAGCCAACCAGGCCAGTTTCCCAGAAAAGGCTATGTGTTGGCCCAAGGCCACAGAGCCGGAGAAGCAGCACCTCTTCAGTCTCAGCCTTTCCTGAGTCAACAGGGAATGTGGTTGGTAGAGGGCTGGGCCGGGATGAGGGTGCTAGGGCTTGAGAGGAGTCAGGTCCCATGACATTCAGGGGCCTTGGACGTCACCCAGCCCATCTCCCATCCTCCAGACAAGAAGACTTGTCAAATGCAAGTCAGTGCCACCATCCCACACCTGCAATTCCTCCTTTATGAGACTGCTCAAGGACATCACCCCCGTGGTGTGAGCACACACACAGAGACTGGGCTTTTCAGCCCCTTGGGGTAAGGGCATGGATGCAGATGCCCCACACGTGTCCAGCCCTCTCTCCCGCGGCCGTCCCACTCAGCAATATCACCTCTCCCTGGGGGATTTCCTGGGCACAGGATACTTCTCTGGTCCCGAGCCCATGGGGGAGCAGGTGGACTCAGGTGGGACATGTCCTGGTGTGGAAGGGATCAGCCTAGAGTCACAGAACCTAGTGGTGGCAGAGCTGCCACCACCCGTGGCTCTGGGCCCCTTCAGCTGAGGAGTGTCTGCCCCAACGTGTAAGTGTGCATCTGTGTGCCTGCGGGGGTCGGGTTCAACCCGTACCTGTATGTGGCCACCTCTAGGCTGAGGGACATCTTGAGGTGTGCCAACTGCTGCCGACCTTCCAGGACCTGGGCGATCTGGCTCTGCAGGCCCTGTTTCTCCTGCTCCAGGGCCTCCATGGCCAGCTGCAGAGCAAACCAGAGGCAGTCAGCGAAGGGGCGGGGTCCTTCCTGCTAACTCACCTGCATCTCTCTAGGCTGCTGCAGCAGCATCTTCTGCTCCCTGACTTTTCGGTAGAGCAGATTCCTGCCTCCATGACCCCCTCCCTGCCCAGAGAACCCCCTCTGGAGCCTCCCAGATGAGCACAGGGGCCCCTCTCAGCCCTCTCCCACGGCCTGGCTCCTCTTCTGAGGATGCTGATTAAATGGTAGCACATGCTGCTCGGAATTCAGCTCCCACAGGAAGGGGGAGGTGAGGGAGGAGAGGAGATGGGTTACAGAGAGAAGGAGGGGAAAGCAGTGGAAGCAGAAGGAAAACCAATTAATCAAGAAGCCTGGATCTCGAAGGACTAGAAACCAAACAGTCTTGGTCCCAATTGCTGTCTCTTGCTCCTCACACCAGGCCCCCACCCCCTCCACTTCCCACATGTTCTGGAATCTTTCTCTTCTGAGAGGAGGGGTGGGGAGGTGGCCATGGTGAGACCTCTGTCTGGCCCAGGCAGGAGGCTGTTTTCTCAGCTGCTGGTCACTTCTGCACAGTGAGAGGGGGAGCAGCTGTCCCAGGCCTCTGGAATGTGGTCGGGGAGCAGAGAAGCCATGCCATGAAAGAAGGGCTGGTGGCTACTAATCCAGGGCCCCTCATCCCCTCCTGTGAGGGGGAGGGGGGCTGTTAGGAACTTGGAGACTCTGAGCGGCCATACCATCAGACTCAGCTCTGAGGGGGAGAGTCCTGGGCATCTCCCAGTGAGAGCAGAGCCTAGGGAGGGGCCTAGGCGCCATCACTGTGAAAAGGTGCCATCCGGAGAGGGAGGAGGCTGCTGCAATGGTCTTGGGCCTGTCTGCCCTTCCAGGGGGGTGCTTTGAGAGGGCTCTGAACCTCCATCATTCCCACCCTACCCGAGACGGAGTTGTGAAAGTCTAGGGCTCTGGCACCGGCTATGGGTATTCTAGGAAGAGGCCCCTGAATCGGCAGCCACCATCCCCCACTTCCCACTCTCTTTGCCAGAAGGTCTCTGAGGCCCATAGGGACTTCCCCAAGCCTTATCTCACCCAGGCCCTCCGACCTCCTCACCTGAAACTTTTCAGTGGCCTGCAGCCGCTCCTGCCAGCGGTCCTCCAACCTCTGCTCCAGTGCTACCCTGCGCTCCTGGAGGCCACCGCGCTCCGCCTGGAGCTGCTGCAGCTCCAGACGACCCTCGCGGGCGCCCTGCACCGCACGGCCCAGACGCTCGCGGGCCTGGCCCAGCGACGTCTCCATTTGCGCCACGCGCTCGTGGTAGCCGCGCACTGCCCCGCGCCACGCCTCGCCCAGCCGCCGCGCCAGCTCCTCCACCTCGGGGGCCGGGGCGGGGGGCCCGCGGGGCGGTGCGGGGCAGCGGGGCGCACAGGCAGCCTGCGCATTCAGGCCGGCGCGCTCCTCCTCGTGCGCCGCACGCAGAGCCTCCAGCTCGCGCTCCAGCTCCACCGCCTGGGTGCTCAGCCAGGCCTGGGCGCATTTCTCGGCCTCGACCGCGCGCCGGCTGCGGGCCACCTCCTCCGCCATCCGCTCCCGGGCCAGCCGCTGCTGCTGGCATCGGCCGGCCACGCCCTCCACCTCTTCCGCCAGGTTGTCGCGCGCCACCTCGGCCGCGTGCTTCTCCCGCCAGCGCTGGTCGACGAGGGCTCGCAGGGCTGCCAGCTCGTCGTCTGCACGGGCACGCCAGGACGTGTCCCCGGACCGTGCTCGGAGCCCCCCGAGCTCCGCGCTGAGCAGCTCATTCTGCTCCTCTAGCGCCTTGACCCGGGCCAGGTAGGCCTCTAGGCGCCTGTTGAGCTCCCACATCTGAAAAGATTCCTCCCCCAGGCAGCCCTCCATCTTGCTCGTCTGACCCACCGAAGGTGGAGAGACGCGGGGCACTGGGAGAAGCCAGCGGCTCTCAAAGCTTTTAGGACGAAAGAGAAAAGGAGACCGATTGGGACAATGACGGGGCGGGGCGAGGCGCAGCCAGAGCGACTGGGAGTCGGGAGTGGGAGCGAGGCTATTCATACTCCCGCCAGCCTGGCGGGAAAAGGGGCGGGACCCAGGCCTTAACCCCTTAGAGTTCAGAGAAGCGGCGGCAGCCTCTGTCCCTGCGCCCCGGTGTGCTGGAGATTGGAACGAAAAGAGAAGCCATGCCTAGAGAATCCGACCTGATGGTGGTGGCTTTCTGAGGAAAGAGGCCATGAAGGTCACACCCCCTAATAAAAGGAGGCTATGCACAGAACCGAGCCTGTGGAGGGGGTGCCGGGGTTTCTGAGCCTGGGAGGGGGTGCGAGTTTCAGTTACTCAGCACACCCAAGAGAGGTATTACTTACTGAATTGCTCTAAGACTCAGTTTCTTCATCCATAAAATGGGAGCAATGATGGAAATCTCCTGGGGCTGCTGAAAAGATAGATGTGGCCATGATTTTTGTAAGTAGCAGATGCTCACCCTCCTGAAATACGGAAAGAAGGGTCTGTTAGAAAGACACTACTTGGAAAACAAAAAGAACAAATATGTCATATTGGGAGAGACAGCGCGCGGGAGCGCGGGCGCACACGCGCACACACACACACCCTATTGCCTGTCTCCATCAGGAAACAGAGAGGTCAGGCGAAAGGATGTTTTCCCCACTATTCATCTCCATCCTTCCTACCGCTCTTCCTACCTGGGTTCACATACTCACTTTGGATAATCCAGGGCCTCCCCCAGCTCTCAGAGAAGGGCGCCCCATCCGGTCTTCGCTGTCAGGAATTTTTTGTCAGAGGGCCCCACCTGGTGGTTTACAGGCCAGGCCAAGAAGAGACAACAGAAAAAAGAGGCAGCACTTCACTTTATCACAACCAGCCCCAATTGTTGAGTCTTCCTGATGCGCCAAATCACGATCTGACATTTCACTTACATTATCTGATTGAATCCTCAATATGCCCTCTGAAGGTTCTACGGTTCAGGAAGCGAAGAGCTCACTGAGGGTGAGAGTAGCTGGGATGGCCTTCTGGAAGAGGGGCGTCCTTGGAGCTGGGTAGTGACAGATGGGTAGGATTTGGGGTATGTAGAGTGAGGGGAAGAGGGGCCAGACGGGGAGAGTCAGGGATAATGAGACTGAGGGGCTCTTTGGGGAAGGAATTTCTGCTCACTTAAATCCAATTTGTCTCTACAGGTGTGAACTGAGCACCTGCTGTGTGTCAGCACTCTGTCCCAGCCCTGGAGAAGCTCAGAGTTTGGTGATGTGAGAGCAACAGTGATGGGCACTCATAGTCTGGTGGTGGAGGTAAGCGTAATAAGATTATTACAATACTTAGCTCCCGAGGTGTCCACAGAGAGGAGGGAAATGGACAGAGTTTTACATATATATATAATGACCAGGAGGCCACCCGTCCACCCCCGTCCCTGTCCCCAGGCCAAGTGGACTTTGGAATTCGCTCTCAATATTTGGAATGGAGGCCATGGAGGGGCCAGCGGGCGTGGAGTGGGGGGATTGACTGAGAATTAGTGCAGACGGGGAGGCTGAGAATTCTCTATCCTCACATTACCTCGCAAATCCTGCTGTTTGGTTTGGGCTGGGAGCTCCCAAGAGCTGTGTCCAGGAGAGCTGACTTGGGGTCTCTCCCTTCTCTTTCACTTTCTGGATGTGGGGAGAGAGATGCTGAATACTTGAGGTCTTCTGGGATCCTTGAGGGGGTCCCCTGGAGAAGTGAGGTGGCATTGGGGTGGGGAATTTCTCTCCTGGGCCCCTTACTCTCCCCCAGAGGGGAGCCATTTGGCACCGTGCTTCATGCAAAGAGCACGTGGTCTGACTTTTGTACTTTCTAGCTGAATGGCTGTCAGCAAGTCACATAATTTCTCTAAGTGAGCCTCAGTTTACCTGTTTGGTAAAGAAGGTTAATACTTACCCATCCCCATAAGTTTGTTCTGAGGATCAAGCAAAACGAAGTACGGGGAAGTCTTTGTACAAGCCTTTTTGAGGACCATCACCATGACAGCCATTAAGCTGGAGCAAACTCTCCTCCTGTGAACCACTCTCGGTAAGTTTTGAGGGTCATGGGGAACAGAGATGGTCTAGAATGTGGGAGAAGAGTGTGGTGTTGATTTTCCTAAGGCAGGAGAAAGTGGGTTCCCGCAACCACAGCCTGGGGGAGCTGCATTAATGATCAACAGATTCTAAAAAGCTAACCGATATTTGAAGCAATCAGATATTGAGGAAAATGAGGCCCTCCAAGGAGGCCAGCAGGCACTCATTGGGCACACGGTGGGCCAAGTGGCCGCCTCTCTTTCCCTGGGGCTTGCATTGGATGACTGGGATTTTTGTGAGGCCTTTGGCTACACTTCTTGTGTCCCTGGGCCCAGGACACACAGGCTACGTGATCCTACAGTGGTGGATGCACAGTTCACTAGCCATCCCCAGAGATGTCCTTGAGTGAGCTGAGGAGGGCTCTGGGGGCTGCCCGGCGAGGTTCTGTCCTTGGTCCTCACTACTACAAGTTTTTATTAAAGACTTGAATGAAAATGTAGAAGCTGTATTATTAAATCTACAGACTATGCAAGAACTGAGAGTTAGATTTTGACAGAATAGAAAAAAATGAAAAGGATGACATTTAATAGGGATATATGTAAAATTCTGCTTTTGGTTTTTTTAAAAAAACCCAACAGCATAAAAAGGGAAGCATGAAGAATACAGCATATCTAGTGAAGAAAACCTGGGGGTTTTAGTGGACCACAAGGTTCTTGCAAACCAACACTGTGAAGTGGCAGCCTAAAAAAAGGAGGAAGGAGGTAAGTGGTTAGCAGATAGAAGGTGTCCAGATCAGAGGTGGTGACATTCCCATTGCCCTCCACCCCTGGAGGACACCATATTTTAAGAGAGACCTTGATGGGTTGGAGTCAATCCCAGAGGAAGTTGGAATAATGTTTAATGAAGACTTTCTTTTTTTTTTTTTGCTGAGGAAGATTCACCCTGAGCTAACATCTGTGCCCATCTCCCTCTCTTTTCTATGTGGGTCGCCGCCACAGCATGGCTGCCAACGAGTAGTGTAGGTCCACGCCTGGGAACTGAATCCAGGCCACTTAAGTGGAGTGCTCTGAACTTAACCACTAGGCCACGGGGCCAGCCCCTGATGAAGACTTTCTGAATCAACTCATGTCTCAGGACTTAAGCTATGTTCCAAAATTAAAAATAATAGCCTCTGAGTACCACATACATCCTAAAGAAAGTTGCCAGACCCTTCAGAAAGCCTCACCCCTGCCCAAGTCTGCTGGAGAGAAGACAGGCCGAGTGCGAAGAGGGTGCATGCAGTGCACTAGAGCACGGGGTGGCCAGTCCTGGAGGGCAGGCTGTGGTTTCCCCCCCACTCAGAGGGAAGGCTGAGGCCCGGCAAGGCGAGTGGGTGCAGACTTCCTAGGGAATGACTCCTCAAGGTTAAGGGTCTGTCTGGAGGACCCACTGGTGTCCCAGTCCGAGACAGCCGTCCTTTAGGGCAGGGGGCTTGCACATCTGCCCTCTGGGCCTCACCGAGCAGGGGAGACAGACCCTGGAGAGAGATACCGGGCATAGAAGGGCCACAGAGAGGGACAGGTGAGGTTCTGTGGGCCAAGGGGACTCCGTGGAAGGAGCCCCCATGGGGCAGCAAGCCTTGGGCACCACCCCCCGAGGGATGTCCGCCTCTGAGGGAGGCAGACTGTGGCACTAGCAAGGGGCACTCTCCTGTTTCCTCCACCCTCCTGCAGAGGAGAAAGAAGCCTCAAAAGGGTCTGCCAGAATGTCATTAAGGGGCAGGCCAGGAAGATGCACAGAACTGTTGTGGGTGGCAGGCAGAGACATCTGAAACTTCCATTTTTGTCACCTCCATTATCCCCCACCTTCTTTGCCTCATAATGCAGGGGTTGGGGCAGGGGCCAGCAGGTCACTCTTGTCTTGTCACTCCATCCTTAACTTAGCCCCTCCCTTTATCTCCCTGTTCACCTTCTCTCTTCCCCTCCACTCCCCAGCTGGATGGGTCCTGCTGGATGTGTGTGCAAGGGGGAAGGTCAGCAAGGAGCCACAAGTCTTGTGACAACAAGAAAAGAGATGGGAAGAAGGAAGTGAGCAGGATGGAGACAAGATGGTAGGAGGGACAACCACTCTGAGAAGCTCTGTAGAAGAGATCTGGCGAAGTAGAGAGAGAGAGAGAGAGCTGGTGCAGGAAGTGATCAGCAGAGCAGGGAGAGGGCCCAGGCACCCCTCCTGGGAGGTCTGGCTTTGCCCTGAGAGCTTTGGGTACTGGCTGGACTCTGCCTTCCCTTCCTGCTTTTCCCCATGCACATGACAGAGCCTTGGAGCCGGGGCTGGCACTGGGAGGCGGAAAGGCTCCTTCTCTCCTCATTTTCTCCTCTCCCTGCTGGAGGGATGAGGGGGCTGGCTTGGCTGCCTCCTCCTTTCCCGCACATCCACAGCAGGGCAGGTGGCTCCCCATTCTCTGTGCTGGGCGGAGGGCTTGAGGGACGGCACGGCGGGGTGGGAAAGCATTGCACGAAGAGCCCTGTCTCTCTGTGCAGCCTTGGACTATTCAAGTCACCCCTCTGGCTCATGGTTTCTTCATTAATTTATTCAAATAATATTTATTAAGCACCTATTGAATGCCAGGTGCACAGTAGGCACCAAATAAATGTTGTGAAGGAATCAAAGATGACTAATATGGAGCCCCGTCCCCAGGGAGCCTGTGGGACTGTTGCGGACAGACGGGGAGCCACAGAGTGTGCTCCGGGTAGAGAGGCATGATGAACAAGGGGAGGTCAACGGAGGGGACAATATGGTTACATTTGGGCCTTTGCAGCGAGGAGATGTCGAAGGGTTTTACCTTCAATGGGAGGATAACCTGGGGAGAGCTGCATCTTAGAAAGATCACTGTGGAGGGTTGGGGTGGGGGAGGGGACAGGCAGGGTGGCCAGTCAGGAGGCAGTTGCCACCATCAAGGTTCGAGGTGATGAGACCCAAACCTAGGGGTGGAGAGGAGGGAAGAGATGTAAGGATATTTAGAATGTAGCAGTTCCAGAGGATGGAGGGAGTGGACAGGGAAGACTCCCACATGTGTGGCTTGGCCCTAGGGACGGGGAGGGATGGTGGCAT